TTTTTTTGCTTTTTTTTGTATTTAATAAAAGATCTTTGTCTTGAATTTTCAAAGCATTATGTATGATGCGAAAAAATTGTACAATAAAATCATTAAAGAAGTTATTAGATACATAAGTATTACAAATTCGAACGAATGTGAAAGATATTATATATGATAAACAACACTAAAATAATTGCAGCAACTAAAGTGGTCAATGATTTGCAAACAATAGATTATATAGTTCGTTTGGCTTCTAAATAGCTAACAGTAAAAAAAATGTCGAAGCCTGATCAGAACATTCTTCAATGTTGAATGAAATTGTCCATTTTTTATAGGAATATTTACAATCTCATTATGTGTTTTGCTCGAACATATGCGCATTTATTTTACATTACGTACTTTCATGTAATGTAATGATTTCAAAAGGCAATTTAGCATCTCGAGAGAAATACATGTAACCAAATTTTTGGAAAGTCAACTTTTATTTGGAGATGAAATTCATTTTCACCCTGTGGGGGCAATGTCTCCATGGGGTAGGTATCAAATTTTCTATATGGACATAGTAATGAAGTTGTTTATGCAATGATATATATATTTATATACCAACAATTTAATGATACGGTTGGTTATTTTACAAAGCTATTCATGAACTGTTAGTAGAAGTACCTTATAAAGATCATACAATCAAGAAATTTGACCACATGTTTAGCCAAAATATTTATAAGTGTTTGAATAAAGTAGATGTTTTGCCAAATGAATTAAGATGAATTTGAAGTACTATTGATGTATTGGGCTCCAACAATTATGAATGTTTTTTATGAAAACGTCAAAATGAAATGAAAGAAAATCACTCTCTAATCATCTAACATAATTAAATAAATAACTAATGCATCTATAATATGCATTAGGTTCTAATTTAGTCATTCAGTGTTTTTCCATTATGTACTATATTTTTCTTGGGGTTGTAAATGTTAGTTCATTCTATTTATATTATGACATCATTATGTTATTTTAAAAAAATATTAGAAGCTTATTTGTTCTATATTTTACTTTGTTTTCATTCAATGATATGTTTAATAAATTAATTAATTAATTTTATTAAATTTAATCGATAAAAACATTCAACACCACGTGCGATGCACGTGCACTTTACTAGTGTTTATTAAAAATTTGAGAGACGATAAATTGGATTGGCAAATGTTATTTAAAAAAGTAATAATCGTGGAGCAGGGATATGAGGGTGGGATTAAATTTGCCTCTTACTAGAATTGATTAATGACTAATTACTAGAATTGGCTTTTGATCAAGATTTTTTTTAACACCTCTTCTAAATTCAAGCTCGGGAACACTAATTACTCTCAGATTTTGCTTTAACCGAGTGAATTACAGCCGACTTAAAGGCTTTGTGAAGATATCAGCTATTTGATCAATTGTGCTTTGATTATCAACCTAAATTGTAGATGACTTGTGAAATGAAATCTTCATCACAGATAGAAGTGCAACAACTTGTGAGTCATTTGGCTTCAATCCCTTCTGAAAAAACTTCACATTCCTCTTTTACACCTTCAGTCATTTGGGCTGATAATCATCGAGGAGCGATGTCGCTAGCTAGCCTCAAATCATGTTCATCATTCGAGGACCAAAACATGTTAAATTTTACATGCATTTGCCCAAAGAAAAAGTCACCAAAATATATCTATCTAACATGTACCTTCTCGATGTCCCTAGCCTCAAATCATGTTCATCACTCAAGGACCAAACATGTTAAAAAATTGACATATACTTGCCCAGAGTTCTAAAGTCACCACAAAGATCATATCTATCCAACATGTACCTTCTCTTTATTATTAGGCTGCAGAAATTCTGACTAATCCTTTGAGTGGCCAATTCTTAAGTCTGACTGCGTCAGTCCCTAAATGTTCATTTAAGGCAACTTTCGACTTGAGGGGGGTAATAAAGATCCCATAATGAAGGCAACGGCCCACATGATGACACTGCATGTATGATGTCATACATGCCGCGTATACATAACAACCTCCATACTAGAAGATAGAAGATGCAACTCGCTAGAGTGTACATGTGTTTTCAAGCCTGTTCGTTAATTTTGTAAACTTAATCCTCATCCTTGGATGTTTTCTTGATCCCTACTCTATAGCATCTAAAAGGTGTCCATATTCTAGTTAGTTCCATTAGAGATATATATGTCTAGGGCTCAAATAGATTCAAACCAAGAAAAACTTTACAACTTTTATCCTCGAGTATCAGAAACCCATTTTACTTAGGGGTGGTATCGGTTCGGTTACCGAACCGATAACCGAAAACCGATACCGAACCGATTAAATTCGGTTTCGCTAAAACCCATACTGAAACCGAACCGATAAGGATTCGATAACCGATTTTTCGGTTACCGAAAATCGGTTCGGTTTCGGTAAAAACCGAACCAAAACCGAAAGTAAAAAAATAATAAAAAATAATAAAAAACCTGCTGCTCCCAGAAAGAAAATAAAAAAAAAAAACTGCTATCCCCAAAACAAAAAACCTGCTGCTCCCAATAGCAAAAAAACCTGCTGCTCCCAATAGCAAAAAACAAAAAAAACCTGCTCCCAAAACACAATACAAAAAAACTGCTGCTCCCAAAACAAAAAAAACCTGCTGCTCCTCCACAGCAAAAAAAAAAA